TACTTTAACTTATTTGAAAGGGAAGAGAGTTTTTACAAAACCGAACCTACTTTTTTAAAAATAAATATTTATATTAAAATATTTGCAAGAGATTTTTTTTTGCTATTTTTTAAATATCACTAGAAGTTAGAAAAATTTTATGAAAATAGGTCCCTTATGGTATCTAAGAAGTTGAACAACTTCTCAAGCAAACACCCTTTAAAAATGTGAGATTAGGTTCATAATACAAGAAAGATTAAAAAATAAATAAGTTATCCTTGAGGTGATATATGCAGTCGGGAATAGCGTACATTTTTAAAAATGCTACTTAAGAATAACAAAATTGTGTATAGAACGAAAGTAATAGAATTGTTTTTCAAATCCTTAAGTTTTTAACGAATAAATGAACTCTAAGTTTCTTCTATATACGATAACACAATGATGGGAAAATATGCCTAAGTGGGTGCCATACGAATTGCCAGTATGACCTAACTTAACAAATAAGTTAAAAATATGCATTTAAATTAAATAAATAATTCAATTAAATAAGTATTATGATTATATATTTAAATACATAATTCAATCTGTAGAAAAACAATTTTTATGAATTTTCTTATTATAATTCTCATTAAATTTAAACTGTAATGTACACAAAGCTATTAGAAAATCGGGTATCTGGTGCTTATTTTAATATTTCTTTTATTTTTTTATGGCTTGAAAGTGATATGTGTATGTTATGCCATCCTACGAAACATTATGTTATGTTTTGCATTATTAATGGATATTAAGATTTTGAGTCTTTAATTCTATACAGAGATTTAGATGTTATAAATTATATAATAAATAAATCTAATCAGACTTATTTTTGTATTTTAAAATACATTGATTATATTGTTCTTTTGTTAAGTATTGCTTCATTGTAATTCTCATTGAGTTAAATTAATGCTGTACTATATATATGTACCTAAAACACTTGGTTGATGTTCTCTAAATTTGTTTTAATGTAATGGTATTTGATAGTATTTAATTGTATTTATCATGGTAATTTAAAGTTGGGAGATTATATATAATTTTCTCTATTAAAATTAAGAAGAGTATTTTATGTTTCACGCATTTATAAAAGAACTCAGAAGCTACATATAAAATGGCGTTGCATTCCTGGTGAGTGTGTTAATCGCAAACCAATTGTCATATTCATTAGTACTTACAAAGTTGTATGATATCCAATTAAATTCTTAATTTCGTTAGATACTTTCGGGGGTTCCATACAAAAAAAGTCATTTAAAATCACGGTTGCCACTTGAAAATTTTTTTCTGTACCAAAATTGGTTTAAAAAGGTACCATTTCTGTAAAAAAAGGTCCAAAATTTTTCTATTGTCTTTTTATAAGAAAATACAATTTATATAAAATGTACAAAAAGTATAAAACAATACAATATCCACAATAAAGTTGGGTCGCCGAAAATGTACCATTTTTTGAACATGAGTACCAGAGTACCAAACGGAAAAAAAAGTACCAATTTTGGTACTAAAGTACAATAAGTGGCAACCGTGTTTAAAATTGTAGAGCTATTCACTCTTTTATGTAAAATTAATACACTTAAATTGTTGAAAGGAAATCGATTAGCAGACAAAAATTGCTAAAGAATACTGTTGTGAAATGTCATTGAAGGAACAGTTCTGTATAGAGAGTCTTATAGAGAGTATAGAGAGATTGTTTTGACACAACACACGGTCGAAAATGTTTGTTTAAATTTAAAACTAAGAGGGCTTTTATATATATCAAACTTAAATGAATTTATAATTTAAACTGTTGAGTTTAGTAGAAACTTGATGGTTTCAAAATAAAACTTGCGGGTTATGTTATCAACTTACGTCGTTTAATTTCTATAATTTAAAACTTAAAGTTTCTTACGTATTGCGGATTATCAACTTCAGTGGGTTTTACAAGTCAACCTCAGAGTTTAAAAATGTTGATTTGAACTTTAATAAAGTTTTCAGGGTAGAGAATTTAAACTTACTTAACTGATGTCTTAAAGTATATTCTTATCTTATAAGTTTTAAATTTCAAAATTTAAGTCGAAGCTTAATAAATTTTTAAATAGAATAATTTATTTTCTATGAAACGTCGCACAGCCTGAAGGGTACAGCTTATATATTCATGAACACAATGAATCATTATTAATATATATTGTAACACTATCATCACAAAAAAAAAATTTATTGGTAAGAAATTTGTTAGTAAGAATTTTATTTGTAAAAAATTAATTTAAAGTGTATTGCTAAAAATTGTTGAATTTTATCTCAATAATTTTTTTTTTACCAGGCACCATTAATTTAATTTCTCTGTTTTAAGTATTAAATTTATCTTTATTTTATATAGATCGTGTATCAATAATTAAGATAGTCAGTCAAAATGAAAAATACGTAAACAGTCTTATCATTTATAAAAATAAATCGTGCCCAGTTCACGCGACGTATATATATATATATATATAAAATAAAATCATTTGAATTTAACCGATATTATTATTAATATAAATTGAACTTTGAGACTGACTCATGAGATACTATGAGTATACAAAGACGTTGCAGGAAATTCAAATTTATTGAAAGAAATATGAAATATGGAAAAAAACCCGGCCAATATGCTTTCAACATATGAATTCGATAAAACATCAGTTTTTTTAATTGAAATTGAAATTTGCGTCGCTAGAGTGTCATTTTCATTAATATATTTAAATTGAAAACGTCAGAGGAGCTTGAGATACCGGTTAGAACCGGCATGTCGGTTGTTTCAGTGCAATAAATTAAAATGCCATTAACACTTGTGCTTCTATACACAAAATAATTATATAAACAGACATGTAAACTTTCATTTATAAAATATATAATAAAGTAGTTCAAAGTGTTGAAATAATATTTACTATGAAAGTTAATAACCCTAGGTTAGTTTTATAATCTTCATACGTAAGAGTATCTGTAATCCATGAAAGTGTCATTTAACCATAATATAATAGGTGTAGTAAAAAGAAAGCCTTTATATTTGCATAAAATTGAAGGCTTATTTACCATAGTTAGAATGATTCGATTTAGGTCAAATATGTGCCGTTTTATTCGATATCTTGTTGACATTTTGAAGATAATTTTATTATGCCTCTCTCATAGAAGTTCTCGTCCCTATTGGCAAAAAATTGTGATAGTCGATTTTCACAAGCCTCTACATACTCTTGAAGCGAAATTATTGCCAGAAAAATTGTTCGTAATGGACAGGAATAGATAGTAATCAGAATAGATCGGTGCCAGGTCTGGACTA